TTGGGGATTTGGGGATTTGGGGATTTGGGAATGTGGGGATTTGGGGATGTGGAAGTCGAGAGATGTGGGGATTTGGGGATGTGGAGATTTAAAAATGTGGGGATTCGGGGTTGTGAGGATGTGGGGATATGTGGATGTGGGGATATGTGGATGTGGGGATATGAGGATGTGTTGATGTGTGGATGTGTTGATATGTGGATGTGTTGATATGTGGATGTATTGTTATGTGGATGTAGAGATATGTGGACATCCAGATTTAGGATGTGGGTATTTGGGGATGTGGAGATTTGGTATGTGGTGATTTGGGGACACAGAGATTTAGAGACGTATAAATTTGGAATCATACGAGTTTGTGGACATACAGATTTGAGAACGTTAGGATTTGGAGTCATATGAGTTTGGAGACATAGCACCTCAGTATTATATGAATTTGGGTCGTAGAAGAATTCATAGTACCGAAACTTGGAGATGTAGTGATTTGAGGACGTTGGAATTTAGGAATATATTTGGAAAAAAAATGTAGAAATGTAGATTTAAAATTTTTAGAAAAAGGAAGATCAAAACTTTGATCCAAAATCACACACCTTGAAAAATACTGCTCTAAAATTCCCCCACCAAAAATGTCCAATGCTTCTGCTCAAATAAGCTAAAAATATCAGAATATCAAAACGACAGAAATAGCTATCCACTCCATTTCACAAAGCTGTCCGTAAACGGAAATATTTCCCGCAAGATTTCCGGTGCAACCGTAATTTCCTTTCAAGTGGTCCCGCAAACAGCGTCAAACGATCTTCCGAACAATTCAAGGTATCGTTTAAAACGTCTCGTCTAATATAATCCGGCGAGAGTTAATTTCGCAGCAACCGGACGGAAAGTCAACGTCAATTTATCTCGGTGTCTCTGTAACATCATAATTTTCCAACTTCGATGCTGATCCCCATTGTTCCCGCAAAGGAGACTGACGAAACAAACTCCTCATGGAGTTGCGACGTCAGGAGATAACGAGCTCCAGAAGCTTCTTGAATCGTTTCCCTTGCCGTTGGCATAATCAAGCATCAATGATGTCCGTCAGACAATAATCGGCCGGCTTACCGTCGGTTAGCGGCTAAATCGGAAAACTTTTCGCCATCTTGGTGTCGGGCGGACAGGGTATGGGAGGCTTCAACTGCTAGAACTGTCGGCAACTCGGATTACTTTTAAAGTAAGAGTACGCTCCGTGCTCTCCTTCTTCTTTCTTACTCGGGAGACGTACCGATGTCTTGATAAACTTTTCACTGTCATCGAACGAAAAATGGGACGAATGGGATTCTTGGCAAAGCCGTTAACATTGCGGGCAGGAAACTTGTTAAAGATCGGAAGAGTGAGTTGATTTGCGAATACGTGACGAGGATTTTTAGGGTATTTGGAGATACAGAAATATTGGGACGTAGAGATATTGGGGACGTAGGAATATTAGGGCATAGGGATACTGGGATGCGGGGATACTAGGATGTAGGAGTACTGGGATGTAGGGATATTGGGACGTAGAGATATTAGGACGCAGGGATATTGGGACATAGGGGTACTGGGACATGTGGGCACTGGGACATGTGAGTATTGGGAACGTGTGAGTATTGGAGACGTGTGGGTACTGGGACATGTGAGTATTGGAGACGTGTGAGTATTGGGGACGTGTGAGTATTGGAGACGTGTGGGTACTGGGACATGTGGGCACTGGGACATGTGAGTATTGGGGACGTGTGAGTATTGGAGACGTGTGGGTACTGGGATATGTGGGTAGTGGGACATGTGGGTACTGGAACATGTGAGTACTGGGACATGTGAGTATTGGGATATGTGGGTACTGGGACATGTGGGCACTGGGACATCTGAGTATTGGGAACGTGTGGGTACTGGAATATGTGAGTACTGGGACATGTGGGTACTGTGATATATGGGTACTGGGACATGTGGGAACTGAGACATGTGAGTATTGGGGATGTGTGAGTATTGGGGACGTGTGGGTACTGGGATATGTGGGTAGTGGGACATGTGGATAGTGGGCCATATGTGTAGTGGGACATGTGAGTACTGAAACATGTGGATAATGAGACATGTGGGTACTGGGACATGTGAGTACTGGGACGTGTGAGTACTGGGACGTGTGGGTACTGGGACATGTAGGTATTGGAATATACAGTGACTATAGTGATGACAAATTAAAATCTAGGATTGTACAAATTCAGGAGTATACTAATTCAGGATTATAGGAATCCAGATATCCAAAAATCTACCCAAGAATCCAGAAATATAAAAATCTAAAAATCTGAAAGGTATAAGAATTTTTCTGCACAAAATATATACTCTACATAAAAACTCTGTATGTTCTGTACTGAAATTATTCATATATCCATGCAACGTCACATGTCACATAACGCAACCACCTCTCGAACATCGGCGAAGAAATCGAACCCCGTCAGATATACAAAATTTGCATATCTAACAAGAACTTTAATGAAAGTCCCCATCGCAACGCGCATTTAGTAGAACTTTCGATCAACATGATGCAAATTGATCGATTTTTTATTCCCCACGGTATCCCCACATTTTTCTTCTCTTTGCACTTTCCTCTTTCTCTCTAACTATCTATCTTTTTTTTCCATAAACTACTCACTAGGAGAGCGTAAAGCTCTGTATTTATGAGATTACTCTTGAAAGGGTCGATCCATTTTCAGAACACGCTCTATGGCATACCGGAGCACCTTATTATCTGAAAATCCAGCAGACCCCGGATAGATACGCTTTCCACTTTATATAGATGTGCCTTTTTATTGATCTTCCACTTCTACGTTACGGGCTGTCCCTACTTGCCACAGGAAACCATCTAGGTTCGACGTGTTGGCGGCAGACGGAATTTAATCAAGTTCGAATGACAGCTTTTTTAGACATTTACGGATTGCAAAAAAATTAATGTGAAAAATACCGTGCTATTCTATATCTTCAAATTGGTCAAAATTTCTATATAAAAGGCGGTGCAAAAAGTGACCTTGACATGAGATTAAAGGTCAAACTTTTTAATCATTGTATTGTATAGTACTGGTTAAGAAGATAAAAAGTTCTGAAGGAATTATTGTATGTGCATATTTAACCGTTCTTTTGGAAAACGATGTCGATGTTCAGCGTGGCGGGAAATTTAAAAAAATTAATGCTTAGAATTTTGTAACTTGAAATTAGAAGTT